AGTAATAGCAGTCTTGAGTTAACTTCAACAAAGAGGACAGGAAGAAGAGGACATATTTGTTTCATATAAAAGACTTAAGTCAATTAAAAACCTTTAAACTCTTAAATGAAGTAAAAACCCTGTGCTTTGGCTAGCAGGAGGTAAATATATGTCACTAGAAAATTACTACGCTATTCATTCACATTCTGCTCCTTTCCCAGTAAAAACAAGATTATGGTGTTTTGACCTGAATAAGTGTCTATTCAGCTTTGTGTCCTGTCTCATCAATACCACAAGGTTATTGAAATACCTCTGGCTAACTTTTTTTTTACTCACACAGAGCTGCTATGTTTTCAAGCTCAAGTAATTCACATAAAGAGAGAATAAAGTCAAACTTCCAAGAATGGGGGGGGGTTGTTGTTGGGGTTTTTGTCTCTTGCTGCTTAAAAACTGATTAACTGTTAGTATTCTCTGGCCATCACCTTGGAAACTGCCTGCTGTTTCTATTCCCTGAAATTACTTTTTCCTTCATGAATGCAACATACAGAAAATTATTGAATATCTTATACTACTCAGTGAGGAAGGATCTCCAAGCAAGTAATACTTTTCCTTTCTGTCTTCTTTGGCAGTATATTATCAGCAGTTGCAGTTCTTCTAAATGACTTGATGAAAGTAATTATTTTTAGAGAATGGGAAGATTTTTTCAAGAGACTGAACTTAATTATCTGTTTAATCAGTGCACCACAAAATATACAGACCTGAGATCCAGCAGTCAAAATTGTGGTATAGGAACAATGGAAATAATAATAATAATAATAAAAATTGTTTATAATAATTCATAATGAATAATTCATCTGATAAATTTAATCACTCTTTCTGCTTGTGGAATATCTGCAAGAATAAGATTTCACTGGATATGATATTTTCATCAATTTATTTTTCAGCACCCAGAGAGTTTTGAGTTAGGACATGATAACATTTCTTCAGGAAAAAAGCCATATGATACTGTTTTTTCACCTATCGGCAGGGTATTAGTGGTTAAGCCACAGCAATAAGGACAGGATTAAATATTCTTTGCTTACAGGAGCAGAATTAGATTTTCATTCACAGATGTGAATGCAAAGTTTTGAAACTCGTGTTCCACAACTAACCATTGCACAAATATCCATAAGAAGTTGAAACAAAAAAGTACACACTTTTCTAGAAAAAAAAATCTAATTAATGTTTGAATACATTTTATTTATATTTACTATTCCCTTAACATTCCTTTTGATTTCAACAACATTTTCATTGTTATATCCTACCTAGCATACAATAGTATAATGCATGACAAACAATAGTAATGAGCCTCATTTTATGCACGAGTTTCTGAAAAAAGTGACTGGACAAGCTGGAGGAAGAGATGGTGTCATATGACCATGCAGGTAGGAAAGGATCTCCAGAGGTCTCTAGTGCACCCCTGCTCAAAGCAGGACCAGCTGTGAGATCAGACCAGGCTGTTCAGGTCTTTGTTCAGCTGAGTCTTGAAAAGCTGCAAGGGTGGAGACTGCACAACCTCCCTGAGGAGCCTGAGCAATCCAGCCTTGCATATCTCAAACTGCTTCTAAACTAGTTATTTTTTTCTGAATACCAAGTACCATAGATGTCTTCATCACAGAGTAACATTCATCTATATTTCAAGAGTACAGTGTTCTGCCTCTCTGCTTATATTTCACCTGGAACAAACGCACTTCACATACGCCACATGGAGCATGAGCAGAATTTTCTCCATTGCTACTACTGAACCTCCTCAGCTGGTCTGTGTGTAGTGAAAGGGTGGAATATGTATGTTAGTGTGAAACCACCTTTGACTTACTACATATCCTGAGCTCATCATTCCACGATAACATAACCTATTAGCTATATTATTATATATCTCAAGCTGATTGTTTCACAGTAACATCATCTATACAGTCAAGAGAGCAGCTATATAATGTCATTAAAAGGTCCTGGACTGACAAAGCTAAGATTTTTTATCTGTCCTGGAAGCTCACATAGCATGGATTTTACCATCCAGGCAGAATTCTCTGCCAACTCCACTCTAAACTGTTATTTCTAAACAGAAAGAAAACAGATATTTTAATTTTTATTCCCATTTACCCATCATTAGCAAAGTTCTTGATCATGGATGCTAATTTCAAAACAATGATTGGTCATGTTAGCACTGAACTGTATGGGTTGTACTCTGCGGCTGATGATTTCAAAGTCAAATGGCCTTATTAGAAGAATAGTTATAACTTAACCCAGTGCTACTGGGAGATCATGCAATTAGCATAGTGCAAATTGTGCTCTGTCCATCAAGTGTGAAGTGAGCTTTTTCTTACTTTTCCTCTTGCTAGTGTTGATGCTGGAGACCAAAATAAACCTGTACAGTGAATGAGTAAATAACACTTTTCCTTGTCTCCTTTTGTTTACAAGGGCTACAAATACAGTACATAACAGTAGTCAAACATTTTTCTTTTCTGCCTAGTGTTACTTTCTACTGCATGTAATTTCTCAGCTCAGATAAATTCAAGATCAGATGTATCTGTTGAGCTGTGTGAACTCTGACTGCATAGGACATGGCTCTGTAAAGCAGTAATAAAAGTAACATTCTCTGGCACTTTATTTGAAGTTACCGAATTCCTCATTTTTCATCAGTAATAGGAGTGCCAAGGTCTGATTTGCAAATCCCTGGCTGCTGAAAGCTAGGGTTATTTAGCATAGACAGTGGAACTTTCTGCTTCTTGTTTTTCTAAGCGTACTCTGTTCACACAAAGAAAAGATGTATGTGTTAAGGTCCAGGCCTATTCCATCCAACCTTAGACACTTAACTGAGTGTGTAAACTAAGAATATAGCATAGTCTAATGGAAAAGAGATAGCCTACCTAAAGTTAATCTCTCAAACAGGCTTCTTCTTTTCAACAGCTGTGATGACAGTTCGCACTCTCATCACAAGCACTTAAAGAAGATGTCTCCATTTAAAACTTGATGAATTCAAGCATCAGTGCTTGACAACATTTGTGATAAAAAAACATTTGTGATGAAAAAAATGAAGACATATTGGAATCAGGATTTCATTAAAATAAGATAATACTTAATAGCTTACCTGAAAAAAAGTTATTTTCCAAGTCAAGAAATCAAAGGGCCAGAGAACAGAAGGCAAAGTTATATTTACTTGCCTAACTAATGTATATTTGTAACACATCTTTCTTGATGATGGGAAGGCATCTTCTCTTTTTCTGTCCCGAGAAATACTGTTTTCACAGGTCAACATTTGAAAAGTGTTAAGAGACTATAATGGTAATATTATGACCAATCTTTCCAAACATTTTTTGAAACAGTAATCAGGAAAGATTCAATTCTAAGGAGGCTGTGATGCTGCAAATAGGAGTTAGTTTTATGAACACAGCAATATTTTGTTAATTTTTAATTCATACATTATCCCTCTGAAGTACTGGAAGAAATTGTCTCTGCAATCTACATGCCAATAGTAGTTTTTGTGTTTAAAAAAGCTAAAAGCCAAGCTCATTCTTGCTCATTTTGATTCTGTACATTAGAGGTAGATCTGAGACAACATCAAGGAACTACCGTAACACATCTTTCCACCAAGTATGTGGTATGCCATGTTCTTGGTATGTTTACTCAGAGCATGGTGACATTCTTGTTGCTATTTCAGTTTTGTAATTTTTCTTTTTTTTTTCGTCAGTCTTGTTCTTTTAATGCACCATTAGTTTACCAAATATCTCAAGGTCAGCAATGGTGCTAACTGGGGATGCTCATGAGCTGCAAAGAATTAAACTCTGTGTGACAGCTGTATCTTGTGTGTAAGGTTTATATTCCCAGTCTCTGCATATTGCAAGATTTTAATTGCAGATACACATTCATATCTTGTCAGAAGTGTTCTCTGAAGATCATCAAAATTCTTAAGGTAATCAGAAGGAAATTTGCAAACATTTATGGATCTATTTGTTCTATCAGTTTCATTTTCTGTACAAAGAAGCTTCATTATTCTTATGCCAACTTAAAAGAGGCTTTGTGATGAGTACTCAGATAACGTGGCACAGTTTAGCGTGAGCGAGGTGTTTAGCAACTTACATCATAAAATATGACAGAATTTCCAATTTCTAATAAGGTTTTAACAAGTTTAGAAGCAAGCAAATTTTTAATAACAAAACAGGTAACTTTAATCACATCAATTATTTTGAAATTTCTTATATTCAGCATTCATGGTGGAGCCACAAATTTTCTATTGTTTAGTGTACACAGTTTTAAGAAATTTTACCTGTTTGTCAGCTACAGACATTTCTGATGAAAATTTATACCTGAAATGGTAATGTTTGAATTTACTGTCATAAATGTGTGCGATTGTATACTGGAATACAAAACATGTGAGTTTTATTTCAGCTTTATGTGTTATGTCAAATTTATCAAGTACAAATACATCACTGTTTTATCATTTGAAGTAGAATTCTGCCCTTTAAGAAAGTACACATAAAGACTGTTTCAGTTTTCCTCTATGCTGTATTTCTATGTTTCTGATAATTCCTTCACCATCCAGCAGTCAGCTGTAAATTCTGACATTAGGTGCATATTCAATTTATTGAAACAAGTAGGTGATCTCTGAATTTTGAGTAGCCACCACACAAAATGCAAAGCTGTGTTGGTCTGTGGAAGTGTTTTTTGTCAAAAATATACAGTTATATCTGGCAACATAATCAGTAAGCAGACAGAAATGAATACTTGAAGTCCATTCAAATGCAAGAGTAGTTATGGTGAGGAGGAAAATGTCAACAAAATTGAAAAGGTTCTCTTGGAAAAAATCATGACTGTAAACATAACAGTCTTTAGCCGGCATAAACTGTGTTGAGAAAAGTTTACACTGGATGCTAAGCCAGCTCTTAGGACAAAGCCTCTGTCAGCAGCAGATAAAACAAAATAAAAGCATTTCAAGTCTTTATAGTGGCTTATCCTGCATTGTTATCTGGTTCTTTTTCTTGTAGATGCCTCTTGGAATCCTCAGGGATAGTGATGGTGAGTATGCCGTTCAGTTCCAAAGATCTTGGCAGTCAGAGCAAATTTCATTTCTCACAGCCTAATTAAGGAATCTTACCATTTTATATTCATCTAGTCATCACTCCTATCATGCAATCCTGGAAAAGGAGAATTTTGAAATTGTTCTTTCCCCCTCATAATTTCCTTTTCCTTTCTGTATGGGTTCTGTAAAGTGTGGTCATCTTGGAAGATGATTATTACAGGCTCTTCTGCTGTTTTCAGACATAGTAGTGGTGTGCTATATATTTAGGGGTTTTCAGTATAAAAACAGGAACCATTTTCTTAAATACCTTCCCACATCTGAGAGCCTAAGACATTGATCAGCCGTGTGTTACTTCTCCTTTCACCATTTGCTCCTTAGGTGTTTTCTTCCCTTTTATCATGGATGTACCATAGTGCTAGGGGTGAAAGAATTAATAAGATTTTCTGTTACACCAAATGAATCATCAGTTTTCTTTATCTTAATTCACGCGTGCTTGTGTGTTATATTTAGCCATTCATAATCTCTGATTTCTTTTGAAAGAGCAGGAGGAAGCTGGACTGGGCAGGTGTGAGAAAGAATGGACTGTACTGACCATGTAACCAGCAATATTTTATTTTTGAACTTGTGATGAAAATAGTTGATCATCTTGCAACTTTAGCTTTTGCTCAAAGACAGTATTGAAATCCAAATTTCTGTTGGCTTATGAAAAATTTCTCAAACAAAAACGTTAGGTGGAAACCAAGTATTTGAGTGGAAACTATTTCTTTGCCTTTTGTCTAGAAAAACACAGGTTAGAAAATTTTAGTTTTATATTTAGCAAAATCTTTTTTTTTGATCAGAAAAAATATTTCTACACTGGCATTTCTTGGTATAAGAAAATTTTTTTTGTCTTCTTGTTAACATAAAATACACAAAAGACTACTTTTTGCTCAGTTCTCTCCTTAGAATCATTTTCTGCCTTAAAACCTTAGAGAAAACAGCTAGCGACAGGAACACGACTGAAAATTAACGAGGTACTTTCACTGATGTTACTTTCGTCTGTCATTGTGTCCTAAAATCTTGTTACTCCCCCTGTTGTACTGAATCCAAAGTCTCTTTATAAGCTGCTCAAGAAGTCTTTTTTGCCTCTGTAGAAGAGCATTCTCTTCCCCAATATGTGTAAATCAACTCCTCATTTTTCAGCGTAATTAGAAAAAAAAAGTGTTTCCTTCATGTTATCTTTTCCTTTGTGGAGACTGGAAAGGAGGCAAAATACTTATCCCAAACAAGTGGTTCTATCGTTCTTTTTTTCCCTTGTATGCATAAACATGAGTTAGATACTTAATATCTGTATCAAGGTCTCTGCAGGAAGCGTTAGTGCTATGGGATTTTTCCACTGAAAAAATAAAAAAAAAACACAACATGTTTTGGGGTTTTTTAGTTGACTGGCTCATCTGGGGAGAGCAAAAGGGCAGTTGTGGCAGAGCTTTTGTCCCTTTTTTATGCTGTGTGATTTCTTCTTTCAAGTATTACCTAGTATTACAAGAACTTACTGCAATAATCTTATAATGTCTAAATTTATATTATACACATCATTGACAATCATTGAAGTCAGTTTTTCCTTTAGGCATGTGCAAACACATGAATGTGAAGTGCAAATGTGTGAAACACAATAACTTAGATGCAGCTGTGAATATTAATTTTTTTCTTCTCCATTCCTACTTTTATTATTGATAAACTACTGATGTTTCATCCTAGCTGTAATCTTAATATTCCTTCCTGTTCACAATACTGTAACTACTTTTGCCAAAGAATAAAAATATGAGCCAGATTTTCCATTTCTCTTTCCATATACTACAGTGGCTTTGATCATCTGGTGCAACAATATGCAAGGGACTGAGTACTTGTACTTAAAACTTGAAAAACCAAGAATCTAAGATGGGCTAAGCTGTGCGGTTTCATGCTTTGTTTCACCTCTGCTTTCTCTTATTGTTAAATCACAACTGAATCATAATTAAACAACTGCCTTACCTATTTTTTTTTTCATACTTGAATATAAAGTTTCTCAGTGCCTTTATTCCATTTAGGAGTTTAATAGGTTTCCTTTCTTCTTTTTCTTGTTCTTTCATTTGTTGAGGTATACTGCACACTTTGGGTGGCTGTAACTGTTGGTTTGAATGTATGAAGGTGTCAAAGGTCAGGTAGTCTTATAATACAGATTTGCATGGTGATGGCTTTGAGTATGGTACATCTGATAAAAGATATAATGAAAATTCAGAGGTTGCAGAAATGACCAAGACAAAAAAATGCCCTGTTAACAACTTCAGGTTGCTTACTTTTCCTATTAGAAAGACTCTATACAGGTGATTCATTGTTGAACCTTAAAATCTTGTTGAGGTAGAGGAGCAAAAGAAAGCACTGTAAGAGAAGAAAATGTTGTTACATGTTCAAAATTACCACAAAGTCAATGTATGTAGTACAATCACACAATATGGTACACAATGAAAAATCACGTGCTAATGACCCTTAGGAAATGACTGCAGAATTTAGGAGATAAAAGGAGTTACACAGTGACTTATATTCATGTCAATGATACTCAAGAATTGCAATACAAAGAATTCATAGCTGCTTCACTGAAATGTCACTGTATTAATGCTACTCTTTTCAAGACAATTATTTTTCTTCAGTGGCTCAAATAGTATTTTTTTCTGTCTCACAACTTTTAGGTTTTCCCATTATTGAGATATGCCCAAAATTACGCTGCTGGGGCAAGTGTATGGTAGTGTCTCATTGATTTATTCAACGGTATTGTGAATTTGTGGAATTCCATTTCAAGACAATTCCAGTTCTTATTAGAAAATGTCTACAGGAGAAATAGACAAAGACAGAGGCATCACAAGGAAGGCTAAAGTTATAAGTTCCTGTAAGAGAGAACAAATAGTGAATTCCTAAGTATAGTCATGGGGTGGATGAGGGTGGAGGGGAGGAAGGGATGCAGGGAAAAGTCTTTCAAAAGAGAAAGTATTTATTTGAAAATACAAAATATTAACGAGTCCCAGACAATTCTCATACACATACAGGATGGATTTTGTGCATATGTGTGTATACATATATTTATAAAATAAAAATACATGGTAGGATCTGGAACAGTTACTAGCACAAACCATCTTTGTGGGATCCAGGAACAGACTGCAAGATACATCCACATGTCAGATTTAGACCTGTGTGAGGTCTATTCACTTCTTTTTTAGCTTTTTTTATTTGTCCACTGGAACAAACCTCTGTGTACGATTTCATTTTGCATATATCTGCATTTCTCCAGAAGCAATGTTTTTTGAGGATTCAGATACCTGCTTTGTGCTTTTTGTATTTGTCTCACAACTGAACCAGCTTAAGGATGCTACATAATACTTCTAGCAATAAACTGATTTTTTGAATATTGTCTATTATAATGTAGTCTTTGAAGTTTCCATCTTTCAAAGTCTCATATCTGTCAGATGTCCGTGTTCACTTTGCATTGACAGAAACTATCACACAACAGGACAGTCAGTCCTTGAAAGCCTAAAATTAAAACCTCTGTGGTTATCTTGTGTATTGCATTGTCCCTGGCTTGCAGCCAAGCACCCACCCAGTCGCTCAGTCCTACCCACCACAGGACAGGGAAGAAAATATGAAGACCAGTAGTGAAAAAACTCATGGTTCTAAATAAAGAGAGGGAAGTCACTCAGCAGTTACTGTCGCAGGCAAAACCAACTCAACTTGGGGAATATAATTTAATTTTCTGCCAATTAACATTTAAATACTGATCGAGGTATTCAGAAGCAAAGACAAATATTTAAACAATTATGGAAAACACCTCTGCTCCCCACTTCCTAAGCTGTACTCCCTTGTTACTACTGCAGGTTACACTCAGTCCCTTCAGTGACACACAGGAGGTTGGTGTCAGCATGTAGCAGGTTCTTTCTGTCGCTCCTGTTTCTCACTCTTTTCTTCCACTGCTCCTTTCTTCTTACTCATTTCCTCTGCTCTGGTGTGAGTCTTCCACAGGCCACTCTCCCTTCAGGGAAGTACCTGCTCCAGCATGGAGCCTCCACAAGCTGCAGTCCCTTCAGGGTTGTTAGCAGGTCTGCCATGGAGGACCTCCTACTCCTCTGGCCTTGGTGTTCTCTCATTCCCTCCCTCCTGGTATTTTGCCCTTTCTTAAGGATGTTTCCCAGAGGCACCACACACTTCGCTGAAGGGCTCAGCTGTTCCCCTGGTGGGTGTGTTGCAGCTGTCTGGAACTGGCTGTATCTGACATGGGGCAGTCCCTGGCCTCTTCTCATCAAGACCACCCCTGCAGTCTCACCACTGTCAAAACCCACAGCTAATACACCTTGTTGTCGGATCCCATTCAGGAACACCCAAACCTTATAGAAACATGCATTGCATTCCATCTAACTCTTCAGCAAAAGACAGTTACTACAGAACAAGATGTTTTTGTGTCTTTGGGGTTTTTTGTTATTGGTGATGGTGGCTTTAGTGGTTTTGGTTTGGTTTTTTATGGTTAAAATGTACCATGCATATGAAGAACCAGACTCATTTAGGGAGCAAAGATAACAAGAAAACAGCAGCTAACATATTAGAATCAGAGGCTAAATAATGGAACAATAATGAAAAATGTTCTTGTTCCCAGTTAAATAAAATGTAATCAATCAGCTTTAGATGTTTTTCTTAATCAGAAACTGCTAGGTGTGTTGTAGAATACTGAGGATAACTTTATTCCATTTACTCAAGAAAAATCAAATTATTCTAGCTCCACCAAGTATAGTGTAAATTCATGCATCGTCTTCTCTTTCTTTGTTGAATAACAAAGCCTCTGTGTCAGTTCATATGAAACCTTATAGAATAATTTTCCTCTCCCTTGGTGGTCTCACATAGGGTTCATACAAGTGAAAAAAAGCATTTGCCTGTTTCTTTTTCCCTTTCCCATCCATTTTTTCTTTTTTTTTTTTTACTTCGTTTTGTCATTTGTGAT